GGGGCCAGACTCTTTTCAGTGGTGCCCAGCGACAGGACAAGGGGCAATGGGCACAAAGTGGAACATGGGAAGTTCCATCTGAACATGAGGAAAAACTTCTTTACTGTGAGGGTGACCAAGCACTGGAACAGGCTGCCCAGAGAGCTTGTGGAGTCTCCTTCTCTGGAGACATTCAAAACCCGCCTGGACCCGATCCTGTGCAACCTGCTCTGGGTGATCCTGCTCTAGCAGGGTGTTGGCCTAGATGATCGCCAGAGGTCCCTTCCAACCCCCACCATTCTGTGAGTCTGTGAATCTGTGAACATGATGACGTTGCATGGTGATGCTCCTCCTGTAAGAACAGTCTTCAAGGACAAGGAGGTTGTCCAAAGGTGCAGCCCCGCTCCTCACAGCTGTGCATAGTGGAAAGGCACAAGGCAGCTGGTGTAAGCCGAAACTAGAGAGGTTCAGACTGAATATAAGGAAAATCATCTTCATGGTGAGGACAGCCAAGCCGTAGATCAAATTGCTCAGAGAGGTTGTGCAAGCTCCACCCATGGAGGTTTCCAAGATCCAGCTGGAGCAACCTGGGCTGACCCCAGGGCTCACCCTGCTCTGAGCAGCTTGGACTGGGAACCTCTCGAGGTCTCTTTCAACGTGAATTAGCCTCTCCTTTTGCAAAAAAAAAAAACCAAAAACCCCAACCATCACATTGTGCTGCAGAAAAGTGTCTTACAGCAGTTTTGGTTTGACTGTACAGATTGGGGCTGTTACCTTTACTAGTGGGACTTTTATGATAAGCATGCTTAGAATATTTATTGACCCTTGGCTTAAAAGCGGAGTTAAATACTTGAGCAAAATGGTTGTAGATGCATTAGTTGATTCTTGGTGTAAGAGATAAAAGAAACATTGTTGTGCCTTTTTTTTAAAAAAAAAAATTAAAACATCTTATTTTTATGAAAGATAAAGGTAATTTTAGTAAGTAAAAACCAACTCATTATTATGCATAAGCAATTCCCAGCCTGGGCCTGGATGAATTATGATTATTGTTGTTACTATTAGAGCAATAGTGAAATAGTGAGAAAAGCTGTGGATTTATAAAATATTCAAGATAGAGATGTGGCCGTACAACTTGTAGACAGAAAATGGGTTCTTAGTATTTTAATATGCACAGTTATAGGATGTTACTTCTGCACTCGCCTTGTTATGCTTATTTTAAAATGATAATTCTTAGCACATCCCTAGCTTTTTAATATACTCCAGCCTTTGGGTTGTCTTGTGCCATTGATTTTAGGCAAGCTACTGATTGTTCTTCATAGGGAAACCTATTGATTTTTTTTTTTTTTTTTTTTTAAAGTCCGTGGTGTCACATGGCTCGTTAAGGGATGTGGTTTTGATATTAAGCCAGTCAGGTAACAGCTCCCAAAACCACTGCCCCTGCAGAAGCGGAGCCTCTGGACGCTACGCTTGGGTGGTGGGCACTGGAGTCCTGTGAGCTCCCAGCTCCTTGGTACACCCTTTCCCTCTCCCACTTCTTTACTGGAATGAAGCCTGTGGCACACCCCTGATGCGAGCCACAGCATGTTCCCGATCTGGATAATTAGCAGTAGAAAAGTCATTCTTCTGCTAAAACTTTCCATTACCCGCCTGAAATGTGGCCCTACGCGTTAGGCTAGGCTAGTTGTAGAGGACAAAGGCAGAGATATGAAAAGTCAGAAGTAGGTGCCATCCTTGTGGGATGAGGGGAGTAACGGAGTGCTGGGAACTTAATCTGTTCGTTGTTACTATCCATTGCAGATAAGGAGACAGTTCATCGAAAATGATTTTTTTCGAGTGAACTCACAGGGGAAGTGCACAACTGCTTGCGATGTGCTTGTTGATAACCTTCGCTTCACGGGTGACAGGAGTTTCTAGGGACAGAGTTTCAATCCAATCTGTCTGCGCCCTCAGTATCAGGACTCTGACTCATATGTGAGAAAGTATTAAAAGTTGTATGAAGCAATTATTTCCCCTGCTGCCTGCCTCATCCTGCTGACAGAGTTTGTGCTGCCTTGTACCAGAAGGACTGGATGTCCACAGAGCAGCTCCTGAACTGCTCTGGGTTTAAGAGCTATGATGAACCAAGCCTTGCCCCAGAGGCTTGATACTGATGCATCCTCAAGTTAAAGCACTCAATTTTTTCTCTGTATCTGTTATGACGCAGCCTGCTAGCATAGTAGGTTTTTGCAAGAATCCAAAATGGACTCTTATTATAGATGTTGACCCAACATGTTGAATACTGCTGCATGTTGTGTACAATTGTCTGTTCTGTTTGCTTAGTATGTGCTATTGTCTCAGTCGGATTTCATATTTGACTTTTTAGTAAACCAAAAAAATCCAAGATCCCATTTAACTGAGATGATACCACAAGTTTGAATTTTTGTTCCTGCATCGATTCGTAGTTGAGAATCTGCCCGGTTCCTCCCTGAAACTATTCTTATCAGGAGTTCACAAGGACATGGAGCATTTGTTAAAAACGGAATGAAAAGTTTCTTATAGGCATTTTCTCCCAACTATTGTAGGTCCAAAAAGTGAAAGCTGGCCTCAGAATTTATTTAATTTTGCTAGCTAGGGCTAGATTAATCTGCTCACTATTTTCAGTGCTCATTCCACTGCGGTTTATTTTGGGTCATTTCATTTCAACAAGGCTTGATCTGTTTACAGCTCTTTCTATAGTAGCGTGACGGGGCCACACAACTCTTTTATAGTACGTTCATTGCTAACCAGGAGCTCGAAAAACGAGTAAATGAGGCACAGACATGAACAAGTTTGGAGAGGACAGTACATTTTTGTATGGTTGGATTATTTTGGAAAGTTTTCTGAAATAACCAATCTTTTGTGCGCTGTGGGTTGCTTTGCAGAGCTTGTAGAGATGGTGTGTAGTTGCCGTGTGCCTTCAGAGGTAAGAGCGGAGGGCTGGCTGGAGGCACTCTGCAGGCGTAAGGCGCTTCAGAAGCCACTGTCGTTGGGAGTTACTCTCAATCCTTACTTGAGGAGCACTTTTGTTTTCATAGGTAGATATTTCCCATCAGGTAGAGTGGTTTGATTTGATTTTGCTGCTTTAATTTTCAGATTTGCTCTATGAGCCGTTCATATACAAAATAGACTAAGGTTAAATAGGTCTCAGTTAAAAATGTCTCATCAGCCAACACAAAAGTGTATGCATGCTCATTGCCACGCTCTCATTTAACATTATGAAGACCTTATTCCCCCCGAATGGAAGAACCAGCTGCCTTCTCTGTCTACCAGATCATGACTGTTTCTGCTCATGCCAGCTGACAAAGTAACGTTTCTTTTCTGTACTTCATCAAACCGGACAGAATTAGTGACTTGCACAACAGAAGTCAGAGAGAAGGCACCATGTCCTGAAAATGGCCACATCTATACTAGCAGGTTAAAACAGCACAAAGAAGTGTTCCTGAGCGCCAAGCCCGGGTTTTTTTCTTAAATATTTAACTTTCTTGAACTCTTCTGGCCCCTGCCATTTAGCATGCTCCCAAGCAGTGGCCAGGCGCAGTTTGGGAAAAGGCTGTTCTCAGTAGTTTAATAGTGTGGAAATAGGTGTTTGCATTCCCGTCATCCTCGGTGCAGGAGAATCTTCCTGGACATGTTTAACTTACTCCTGTGCAGGTAGTTATTACATCCGTATAGCAGATTGGAGGCCGAATCAGCGGTGTTTTGGAGTCTGAGTAAAAAGTATAATGTTAATATTGACATTCTGGAACATTCAAAGCCTGTCAAAGGTTTTGTAGGAGCGGTTGTGCGTGCGTATGCAGAGTCAGCATACGTGTGTACTGTGCGATGTTCTTGCATAGGGATCTTAAATGTTTTCTTGGCTATAGGAGGATATTCCTGCCTGGCAAAAAAGTTATAAAGCCCTTACTCCAGTGAACGGAGAGCTTAAGAAGTAGTTTTTAAAAAGTCACAATTTGGAGACTAACCTTCTACAAGTTGAGTGTGTCAAATGCGGTTTGACTAATGCTGTAGGTCCACTGGTCACAGCTCTTCAAATTGTGTGACTGTTTGTGAGCCGTGTCATCGAGGTGCTTCTGATCTCAGCAGGTCCTGCCCTGCAGCTGCACAACCTGCTGGTGCACCCTACGATTTCCCTTTCTGGGGGAAAATGTATCAGCGCGTCTTACGCTGCTCTACCTACATTTTGGTCAGCATGCACTGCTTCTAGAGGTGTGCTCCGTGTCCATCTTCTCCGACACAAGCCACCTCAGAGGTGACTGCCCACCTGTATTTTTGTTGTTTTTATTGACTCTTATTGTCTCATCACTGTCTAAAAATTCCTGGTTTCAGGCTGACCAGGAGCTCTCCTTTTGCTGCGTACCTTCAGATTTAGCTCCACGCGCTGCTTCTGAATTTAGCCTGCAAAAGTACTGGCTTGACTTTTGTTCTTTTATACTTGAATGGAAATAGTTCAAAGTTGTGCTGATGTAATAAAAACAGGAGGCCAGAAGGCAGTGAACTGGAATAAGGGTGAATGTATGAGAGAACACAAGCAGAGGGTGGCCACTTTAGATCCTTACTGCCATGAAGACACAATTATTTTTTAATATAATGTGTTTAAAAGCTGCATTTCTCTTAAAGAAGCCTTCAATTTGTTCTTCATAATGTAATGTCATTTATAAAAGCACTTATGTTATGGCAATACCAGATACTCTAGCCAAGATACCATGAGAGGCAGTTCAGAGTATTAATTGTATAGCAGTGATCTGTACTTAACAATGAAAATGCCATCACCTATTTTCAAAGTCTTTCTCTTTTTTTTGTGGCTAATAACCTTGATGATCAATCAGAGGTAGTGGGCTGAGGCAGAGCTCAAGGCCATCAGCTCCTCCCAGCCTGCTACATAGTTCCCAGGAAACACCCTGTATTTCATTAGTTCTTGCTTAGTTTATGGTGTAATATTTTGCTCAAAGGCATTAAACTATCATCAAAAGCAGTAGACCAATTAGTGTGACTTCTTTTTCCAGGGTCGTTGTACAAGGGAGAACTGCAAGTACCTTCATCCACCAACACATTTAAAAACTCAACTGGAAATCAATGGCAGAAACAACTTAATCCAGCAAAAAACTGCAGCAGCGATGCTTGCCCAGCAAATGCAGTTCATGTTTCCAGGGACACCACTACAGCCAGTGGTAAGTATATTTCTCTGATGGTGTTATTGGTAAGTAAAATTGAAGTAGAAGACTATATTGACCTGCAAATGTTCTCTACACTATTGTCAGTAAAAATAGTCCCCATCTGTTGACTTAAGGAATTGCCAAGATGCTAGAGATATGTTCATTTATATTTGCATTTGAAGATACAATGGTGTGTTGCTGTAGATTTGATATATTTATTTTTTTTTATCCCAGGCTCATTTGCCTTTTTTTTCTCTCTCTAGGCTTTTTGGTTTTTTTTTTTCTCCTTCATTCAGTTCATGTCAGGTTTAGTCAAAATTTGCAAGATTTTTACCTATAATCCTTCTGGAGTTGAAAATTTTGTATAATAATAATTGCTAGTAAGCTATTTGAGTAGGAATGCAAAGTTGCCCTCTCAGGAGTCTGTGGGTTTGAGTGGCTTTAAATAGAATTTAATCCCAGGGCCAGGAAAAAAGGTTGATGTCATTTTGGGTAGCATCTTCTTACTCTCTTGAAATTGGAAGTGTCTCAGAATAAGACAGAGAACCGCTGGAGCATGCACTTTACAAACTCAGCGTTTTATCTTAAGGTAATGCTTATTGTGCCTGGGACATTTTAAATCCAGAACTAGAGTCTTGCAGGCATGAGCAGTGTCTTTGTATATACGTGAAAATGATGGATTGCTCTGGGCTGCCTTTGCAGTTCTGTTCCTCATTGTACCAGACTTCCAGAGCATGGTTAGGCAAGTAATCTGAATTAAGCTTTTCACACATGGCTGCTAATGATGTTTTCTCAGTTTGATTGCCTGGTGTAAGGCACTGGAGTGGGATTTCTTTCTCTAACTTGAGGCATCCGGAGTGTTGGCATCAACTTCTGCATTGGGCTTCCAGGGTCCATTTATAGTTTATCAATAGACACGGGCACTTCTAATTACTATTCGCTTGACTTGTTTCAGACATCTGCATTCGGATTAGATGATTTGATTTTTTAAGTGCCTTTGTCTTTCCACGGGCTATCACAGGAGTCAAGTCTAAGCATCTCAGAGGAAGACTTCCGCATTTGGTCAGAGGAAGCTCACCCCAAATGCCTTTTTCAAATGTGTTTTTACACTTGAAACATCTGCTGTAACGTGGGAGGCATGAACAACAATTGGGTGTCAGGAGTCCCTGAATTTCTGGTCCACGTTCGTCAAAATGTATCTTCGTACATTGGCATAATGTGTTTTGATATTTCCTGCTTTTTAGTGCTTGAGTTTCCACTGGAAAAAGTTTTGATGAAGTAATAGATTCCACCTCTTAGTATTATGAGAGAAATCGAAGTGGCAAAATTGTACTTTTTTATACTCACCCATTTCATTATTTGAAATTTACAATTTCATTGATGTAATGCCTTCTGTACTGATTGCTGTGATAAAAGTGCTGGGTTTTGTTTCTCGGTTTCATATAAATTGCCAGATTAGGATGACTCAGTCTTGATCAAATGGATAAAAAGTGAAAGAAAATTCCACAGAAGTCATTTGACATGTGGATTTATTCTAAAAATTATATCTGATACAAAGCTGTTATTTATATTTTACATAACACATATTGTCCTCAACATAGTTGAACCGTTGTTTCATATAAATGTTCATTATTATGCTCTAAAGAATTTAGCTCACACTTGACATATAAACTGGGGTGTTTGTTATCAAGCAGTTTTGATCTCTGATAAAAACAGAGGATTATTCACTTTTAATTCTCTAGGGCAGTTAGATGCCATTTCCATACAGTTGGGTATCCTGGGTAATCTGCTGCTCAAAGCGTCTTCTTGGTACTAACTCACACTGATTTATAATTTAGTAATTGTTTCCAAAGACAAAAAAAAAAAAAAACAAAACAAAAACCGAACTAAACCTTCTAGCTCCTATGCTTTCTCTTGCGTATTTTCTACATACTGTGCATGGCTGGCTTCCCTTCTCCAACAGAGACCGTACAGGCAACCTTGATGAGAAAGACGCTCCTCCTTCATTAACTGTTTTTAAATCTTTACTTAGTGTTCTGCTGTTGCGGGGTTCATTTCTAGCTGCTGGCTTATTTGGGAACTTAATTTCTGACAAAGCTAATCTGAGATGTGTCCTGTTTTTCTGCATAGTTTTTCCTCATTTATAATTATAGCTTCACTCTCTGGGGTAAATGTCAGCTCTGCAGAACTAAAGCACTTTCCGGGTCTGACCGTGGTCTGACCATGATGATATTCTGCCTCCACCCCCCATGGAACTGGTGGTAACAAACCCACCATTCTGCCCTGGTAGCATCACACAAGTGCTCTTTCTTCTGGTCATGACTTCACTGACTCGCTGTAGGAAAGCATGAACCAGATTTTTAGACCCGTATCATTCCTTCCAATCAAATTTTTTTGTAAGATGGACTCTAGCTAAGCCTGAATAATCCCTTTCTAAATATTGTGTCCAGCTGAGATTATAATATTTATTCTGCTTGCCACTGGTGACAGCTGAGCACACAAACATTCACAAAGGTGAGGTTTTTAGATGTGTGAGCCATAGTAACGTATAATTGCAGGAGGTGGCAAAATACAGCATGCAAACAGATGGAAGTTACATGCCAAAGAGCTCATTATATATACTCTTATTAGAAATATGGCTTTAATATAGTTAATAACGCTTCACCTATGAAATCTGGTACTTTGAAAAATAGCCTGTTTTCCCAAGGAAAACAGATATTGAGAAAAGGCAGCAAAGTCTGTGCTATTTCTACTTTTAGATGTGTAAGTAAGCCTGCACTGTAAGCTGGACCTCCATAGAGATTCAGGTTCAAAGTACGACTTCCTTTGCATCGGCAACCTCTTTTCCAATAATAGAGCTACAAAAGCAGTTCTTCGTCTGCCGCTGGAATGTGTTACGTGATTAAAAGAAGAGAGTATGCTGTGTGTTTTGCCAACTATTTGAAATTTTTTCATTAAGAAAATGAATCAGCACCAGAAAGAACACACAAAAGACAACTAGTAAGTTCTTGATTAAGGGGTTGTTTTGGTTTTTTTTCATCTTGGTCTGTGTTTTCCTTTTGCAGCCCACATTTCCAGTGGGTCCCACAATAGGAACGAACACGGCTATTAGCTTTGCTCCTTACCTAACGCCAGTAACACCGGGAGTTGGCTTAGTCCCGACTGAGATCCTACCCACGCCGCCTGTCATTGTTCCTGGAAGTCCACCGGTGTCAGTCCCCGGTTCAACTGCTACCCAGAAACTCCTCAGGACTGATAAACTGGAGGTACTGTAGACACCACCGTGACTAGAAATTCAATCCTCGGTTAGACAGTGTGAAAGATCCTGGAGGGAAAAACTGTATTGTTTTAGAAACGATGCTTAAATTTAGTTGCTACAAATAAAGACCTTGTAACCAGGCAGGATTTCTATGCTTGCAGCCAGTGGTAATTAAACACTTTATTTTTAAGGCAGTGCATTCACTCAAATTTAATACACAGACATCAACATAAATTTTCATCATTCGTAAAGTTCATCTCCTCCAAAGTACCTCAAGTATGCATACGTGTAAAGGTATGCCTTGATGAAATATCTAACAAGCACATTTTTATTGCAGTATTAATTCTGTCCTGGTTTTTATGTATTGACATTAGGGGAATTTTGTAGCCTTTTGGATCGATATTAGGGGAATGGTATTGCCTTTCAGCCTTGAGCTACAAATGGCGATGTCAAACGTTACCAACCCTGCAGCAGGCAGAAGGGGCAAGCCCCCAGCTATGTGCAGAGCCTCCCGCGTGTCGATGGATCCCCGCATGGCTGGGCTCAGCGGAATCTGTGATCCAAGTACACGGGCAGGCCAAAAGGCTCTTGGAGAAATGAACGTCCTTTCCCAAAAGCACTAAGCACTAGTGTCCAGAGCACATTTTTTCTTAGGAAAATCAGCACATTCATTCTGACAATTTTTGAAAATTATTTTTAAGGAGGCTCTCCATTTTGTGTGTAGACTCCATAAAAGATACAGTGCATCTGATGCATATCTTCCCTCAGTCTCAGCAAGAGGAACTCCTTCCCTACCAGTGGAGCTGCAAGAATATAAAGTGTAGTCAGAAAGAGACTGAATATTTTGTGATTTCCCAGCTAGTTTTGCAGGGGCAGTTACTTCAGTAAGTATCCTTCCCGGGTGTTTTCTAGACAGGAAAAAGGAAAGGCGTTTGGGAATGCTTCTATTGCATGTCAAGTTCATTTAGCCGCCGTAGCGCAGAGCTACCTGAGGAGCCAAGCATGTAAGGGTAAAACAGATGCATTTCCCTCTCTCAGAAGAAGGTGAAGGGTTTATTAAATTGAATCCGCAGAAAAACTTGAACTAAGCGGGGAAGGGGGCAGATCTGTCTTTTGGGGGCGCGGGGCTCTCCCTGCCCTTTCGCATTGCACCGTGCTCTTCCCCTGCAACGCGTGTTGTTTTGCACGTAGGTGTGCAGGGAGTTCCAGCGGGGAAACTGTGCACGTGGAGAGACTGATTGCCGCTTTGCGCATCCAGCAGACAGCACAATGATTGACACAAACGACAACACCGTAACCGTGTGTATGGATTACATAAAAGGTCGTTGCATGAGGGAGAAATGCAAGTATTTTCACCCTCCTGCACATTTGCAGGCCAAAATCAAAGCGGCGCAACACCAAGCCAACCAGGCTGCGGTGGCAGCCCAGGCAGCTGCGGCAGCTGCGACTGTGATGGTAAGTGCTGGCATATATGGCTGCCTTTTTTTGACAGAAGCTCTTTGATGCCTATTTTGCTTCAATTTAATGCTGTTCGCTTATACTTTCTTTTCTCTTTTGCCTCTTTTTTTTTGTTTGTTTGTTTGTTTTGGTAAAAGATAAGAATTTATAAAATTATTACTATTGCTTGATGGGAGGAAGCACTTTTTTTCTTTATGCCCTTATTTTAATGCTGTATTTCTATCCAAGACAGTGAAGCAAATGACACTCTATACCACTTCTGTTCTTTGCCTTGATTATACGTTAAATTTGCCCCTAGTATTTCCAAGCAGAAATAAAATTGATATGCTTGTGTCCCCTGGAAAATAGGGGCACATACACTGTTTTTGCTCTTTGATGACAGATATACATGTGGAAATTTGGAAGAAAAGGAAGAAAAGCAAAGAGAGAGCTTTTGCCTCAGAGATTGGTAGTAGAAAAGAAACCTGTATTAGGATTCAACTTGCCCCACCTGAGATGTCAGACAGATGACTGAGCCTAGCCTAGCCACCTTGGTCTCGGTTTATAGGTAGTGGAGAAAAACCAGCACATTCATCTGATCTACCACTGGTGCCTGTCTGAGGATGAAAAGAACCACCCTCTGCAGATACACGCCTGTCCCTGCTGACTAAAAAGTGTCAACTATATCTTTTTGAAATTCGGTTAGATGAATCTCACACCTAGAGACTTCTCTTGCCTCTCCCACTGTCGTGGGCAAGTTACCTGAATCTCTCTAAGATACAATTTTTCTATTAGAAAAACAGGATTTAAAAGTAGTAAACTGAAATGGGAATCATTAAGGAAAAGCATAGTAACTATAGTCAGAAGAAAAGATATTGAAGGAGGGCTTTCTATTTTCAGATATTTTAAGATCTTACTGAAAACTGTTCAGACAAGTCAGCCCATCCATTTACCAGTATTGTATACCTCTTAAGGTTGCTACCAGGAAAGTTGATAAATTTAAATAGAGTGGTATTGATAAAGTTAAATAAATCAAGCATGCAGGATCTGACTTGGGAGACCAAATTGCTGGCAGCAAATCAAAGAATCATTGTCCTCGTTGCTGGCAGTGGACAAATAATTAAGCAGATGTGGTTTGTGGACTTGTGGGCAGTGCATACAATAGTTATAGACAATACAGTTATTCTCTGGGTAAAAAGCCTACCAGAAACACAATGCAGTACAGTATATAACTACCCCAAGCTATTGTATTTAGCAAATTAGCATAGCCCAGACTTTTTGAGGGACAAAGGGTAAGTTATGGAATAAAGTAAACGTCCAAACAGAACATTTCTTAAGTTTTAATATTCTTTCTCTTACAGTATCCCCAGTCTCTGTTTCAAACTGGGTGATTTTTAGTTAAACTTTCCTGTGCTTGCAGAAATTGAATACCATCTGGAAATTAAAGCAAAGGAGATTGTTTTTTCATTCTAATTAGCTTCTATTGTGCAATATTTATTCTCCATTTAGAGAATGTAATATTTCTAGGCAATATACTAAAGAAGAAAGGAGAGAGATGGATTAATTTTTTTGGGCTTCAGTAATAGTTGGATATATATCCCATGATTTTAAATAAGCCATAATTGGAATTTTATTAGCCTCAAAGCAAGAGGAAGCATCTTTGGAAACACCAAATTGAAATGTTAGCATTCTAATGTCACGGGAGAAGGCGGCAGGGACCTGTCATTCAGGGTATCTTTTTGCAGAAAAATATGTACAAAATATTTTAATGGCATATTTAGACTACCAAACAGAAAAGATTTTTTACAATCCAATTGTTTTTTATTTAATATATATTTGAAACAATCAGAGTCAATGAAAAATCACCGGAATGGCACTAACAGCAAAAAAGTGGTAGAAAAGGCACATGCCTGTAAGGCCACCCAAGAATGACCAAGAATACTCAGTTGGATCTAGAGAGCAAAAGTAAGGCAGAAATACAAATACTTACCTGTAGCGTTCACTTGCAGGTTGCTCCCAGGTTGAAATTGTGTCCAAGAGGTTTTCCTTCCTGGCTGGGGAGCTGGCTGCATTGCTTTGGTCCAGAGGGTGCTCATATAGGTGAGCGTTGTGGATAAGGTTAGAGCACTGTAGGCAAAGCTTGTAAGACCATTGAAGGTCAAGGCATTCTGCAGCCCTTGTAGAAAATGTTCAGTCTATATTTCTGTACGTTGAAGTTAAGGAATTTTTACTCAGGTATCTTAGGTGACCCCATCATTTGAAGTAAAAAGGAAGGGGAAAGACATTGTGAAAGAGGCTGTAGGTCATGTACAGCTTAAATGTGAAGTCCTTTAGAAGGCAGTGTCATCTATCATTGTACTCGGGGAGCTCCAAATATTCATGTGGTGCATCAGACAGGATAAAAAGTTAGTGGAGAATGTACAGCATAAATTAAAATGTGAATTCATAGCTGGTGTTGGAAAGGACCTCTGGAGATTGTCTAGTCCAACCCCCCTGCTTTAGCAAGGTAAGCTAGAGCACATTGCCCAGGACATGCCTAGTTGGCTTTTGAAAGTTTCCAAGGATGAAGACTCCACAACTTTTCATGTCAGCCTGTTCCATGGTTAAATAATGCTTATAGTAAAAACAAAAAATTACATTGAAATGTAATTTCAGACCCTCTTGTCCTGTCACAGGGCACCACTGAGAAGAGTCTGGTTCCATCTTTACTCCCCCTTTACTCATACACTGATGAGATTCCCCTGCATCTTCTCTTAGGGTGAACAGTCCCATCTCTCTCAGCCTTTCCTCATATGAGAGGTGCTCCAGTCCCTTCATGGGACTGTTTTCTAGTATATCTAGTATGTACTGAGACCTCCAGACCCAGATGTAGTGCTCCACATGCGGCCTCATCACTGCTGAGTACACGGGACGAATCACCTCCCTTGACCTGCTGGTGATGTTCTTCCTAATGTAGCCCAGGACACTGTCAGCTGCCTTTGCTGTGAGGGTGCTTTGCTGGCTTATGTTCAATTTGGTGTCCACCAGGATATCGAGGGCCTTTTCTGCCAAGCTGCTTTCCAGCTGGGTGGCCCCCAGCGTGTCCTGGTGCCTGGGGTTGTTCCTCTCCAGGTGCAGGGCTTCGTATTTCCTTTTGTTGAACTTAGTGATGTTCCTCTGTGCCCATTTCTCCAGCCTTTCCAGGTCCCTCTGAGTGGCAGCACATCTATCTTGTGTGTCAACCACTCCTCCAAGTTTTACACCTCTAGTGACTGTGGCCAGCCTCCAGCTGGATTTTGTGTTACTGATCACAACCCTTTGAGCCTGGCAGTTGAGCCAATTTTCAATCCATCTAACTGTTTCCTATTTAGCCCGTACTAAGTAAGTTTGTTTATGAGGATGGAATGGGAGGCAGTGTTGAAAACCTTTCTGAAGTCAAGAGAAACAACATCTATTGCTATCCCCTCACCTATCAAGCCAGTCTCATTGTAGAAGGTTGTCAGGTTGGGTAAGCACAATTTCCCCTTCATAAATCTGTGCTCACTACTCCGCATCACCTTCTTGGCTTTCATGTGCTTGGAGATGGTTTTTCAGGAGGATTCAGGGTCTGAGATGAGGTTGACCAACCTGTCATTCCTCAGACCTTCCTTCCTGCCCTTTTTGAAGATGGGAGTGCCATTTACGTTCTTTGGGAACATCCCCCAGCCGCAGTGACCTTTCTTAAGAGTGACCTTGCAGTGACACTGGCCAGCTCTCTCAGCACCCGTCGGTGCATCCTGTCAGCTTCTATGGGTTTGTGTACATCCGGTTTGTTTAAATGTTCCCTACCCTGATCCTCCTCCTATGAGGGTAAATCTTCCTCGCTTCAGACTTTTCCACTGGTCTCCCACTGGCCTTAAGGCCAGTCTTACCAGTGAAGACTGAAGTGGAGATGTTCAGTACCTCAGCCTTTCCCATGTCCTGTGTCACCAGGTTGTCTGCCCCATTCAGCAGCGGGGGGCAACATTTTCCCTTGTCTTCCTTTTGTTGCTGATATACTTGGAGAAGCCCTTCTTGTTGTCCTTCACATCCCTTGCCAGATTCAACTCCAGGTGGTCTTTGGCTCTCCTAACCCATCCCTGCATGCTCAGGCTGTGTCCCTATTCCTCCTGGGGCATCCGTCCCTGCTTCCACCTCTTGTGTGCTTCCCTTCTTGCGTTTGAGTTTAGTCAGGAGTTCCCTGCACATCCGTGCAGACCTACGCTGTGTGGTTCTTGCTCGTATTCCAGGAGATGTTATAGCCTGCCAATGTGACATACGGCAGACAAGTACTATGCCTCAGTGTGTTTGATCATTTTTATTATTACCTTTATTTCCTTTCCATAGGCTTTTCCTCTCCAGTCTGTAGCTATTGATTTTTTTGGTTGTTAGTCATGTAGGAGATCAAATGTTGAGCGGGAGATTACCTGATGGAATAGAAAGAGGCAAAGGAGGTTTTACTGTCAGGACAAAAATGAGAGAAAAGATGAAAGCAGGAAAGAAAAATGGACAGTCGGTCTCAAAGCCTGAGGAGAGGGGGAGACTACATGGAAACAAAGTTGATGAGTACATCTAGAAAGAGATCAAGGTGCAGCCTTCAGGTTGGGAAAACTGTGAGACTGAATTTGCTGTGGAAGATGAGGGGAAAGCCAGCAGAAAGCTTCCAAATGGGGAGGTGAGTTTAAGAAGAGCATAGAGAAGAAGTGGAGAAAGGCAATCATAAACACAGAGATAATAAGTTAATGAGTGAGATCAGATAAGATCTGCATTTGGATAATAAAGGTAATTAACTGAATCGCTTTACTCTTAATGATGTTGATTTGAATTTCTGGACTTCATCATCACATAACACTGAATTCAGTCGTAATGCTTCACCTCCGTGTAGACTTCCACCCGTGGTGGATGCAGAGTGGATCTGAGGCTGTGCCCCAAGCAGACAGAGTGATGTCCCCCACGGGGGTGCCCATGGGGGGTACCACACGTCGGCTGCACAGCATCCTGCTGGGGGGAACAAGAAGGTTCTCCAGATCCTCACTTTGCACCAGGTGTTTCTTTTTATGTCAGAGTCTTGGACCCAGACCGATGAGCAGATCCTGTAGATCAGGGTACATAATCCAGAAGCGTGCTGAAGGGGAGATGGAGTGGGTGTTGGGAAGCCTCATGCAACGTAGGTGCAGCAAAGCCAGGAACAAAGAATATAGGCAAGGGCTACCCTGCAAAATATCCTACTGGCACTAGCTAATCTTGTGACTATAAATTTTTTATCGGCGTTTTGTGCCTTGTCCTCTTTTTTTTTTCCCTCCACTTTTGTTCCCTATTTCCACATACTGTTGTCAAGATAGGCATAATCTGCATATCCTAAAAAGAGCTAAATATCAGCCTGTGTTTAAAAAACAAAAGTAAAAATTCTAATTTCTAAGTAAATCTTCCTTTCTTGCTAAAGGTTTGTAAGAATTATTTACACTGTAAAACTTGAAAGTAATATTTCATGTGAGAAGATTTTCTACAGAATGCCATCATATCAGCCATAATTTGATCTTGTTATGGAAGTATACATACATGTATATGCCTACGTACTATGCCTAAATATTTTCTTTTAAAAAAATAATAATATTGGACTAGTATCGTATCTTGTATGTTAATGTTCGCTTATGAACTGAGAGCAGTATTTTTACTCCCTGCTCCTGAAGCTAGTAATGAAGGTTGTAGCAAAATTTAGAAAATAGGTTTTAAATTCAGCAAGACTTTTTTTCCCTCTCAATGTAATGTGGTAAGTTACAAGGAAAAAAAAAAAATCTACAAAAATGGCCCAGCTGTAGAGGAATAAAAAAGGAATTAATGATAAGTTAGTGTAACTAGACATATTACTTATTCTGCTTTGTATTGGAAAAGGTGAACATCTCTCATTTTGACTCCCAAATCTATTGAATGACGCATTTCTCTTAATTAAAAGACCCTCACCTTGCAAGCACTGATATTAGTAGCATTTGTAATGCATTACAACGTTCACTAGTGCTTTGTATTGGAAAATGTAGCCTTCCAAATTGATTTTTCTGCTTGAAAATGTGACTTAACTAACTTATCAGGAATTCTTATAGGTGTATCCTTAAAACTCTCTGCATCTCTGTGAAGTGTTTATACGATGCTTAATAGTGTCTGCAAGCTGCTGTTGTACTCAACTTTCCTGAATTTCAAACATCTATATTTTACTCTCTTATATGCTTTTAACTAAGGTATAGTAGATGCATTTTTGCTTCGGTACTAATTCGAAATGTAATATTCATTTCTTTAGAAGACATTTTTGTTGTTGTGCATGCCTAGTGTTTTGTATGTTGTATATTGCATTCAGAATATTTTTTTCCTTCTCACCTATCCACAAATGCAATGCCGTTCCCATGATGCACCTCTGCTTGCTGTTTACCTGTATGTTAATTCGCTTGAATCCCATTGGCCCACTGCCATCATGTGCTCGCTGCCTGTTATTAAAAGACTCAGTCGACTGCCAAAGCAATGAAGCGACCTCTCGAAGCAACTGTAGACCTGGTACTTTGACCTTTCACCTTTTGCTTTGCATGTAGCTTTTCTTTAATATTTTTTTTTATTAT